ATATGTAACAACAAATCCCAGAAGTATTTACAAGTATACTGCAACAATAAAAAATGTGTGTTGGGGGAAAGACCACTTATAAGGCACTTTTGGCACAGTCTAAGCTCCACAGTGAGTATGAGCAGAGGTGATTTTTAGCATTTGGAGAGCTCCAATTGAGCTATGGTGTTCATGAAGATCTTGAGTTGTTGCCTTTTCTCCTGAGGCAACTGGAGATTACTTCATTGACTCTGTTCTTCTCTGAATGGAAAAGGCAAGCTCCAGTGAATTTAGCACAGTGGTTCTCAGCTACTGCAATAGAATCTACTGGGGAGATTTTCACTTAATTGGTTTGAGGTGAGACCCCAGCAACAGCGTTTTGAAAACTCCCCAGGTTCTATTCTAATGTGTAGTAGCTAGGGTTGAGAACCACCGCTAATGCAATCAATGTGCAATCTCTTTCAGTCAGGAATTTCAGTATAAACTGCCTCAGTGCTTCCAAATGTGCACAGGAATCACCTGGGGGATCCTGTTAAATACAGGTTCAGGAGGTCTGGGGTGGGGCTGGAGGTTCTGCATGTTTAATAAGCTCTCAGGTGATGTTGAGGTTGCTGGTCACTAGACCACACTTGAGTGGCTTGAACTTGTTAGTCGAAGCAAAAAGCACTGACCTACCCCAGTCCAGAGTCAATAAGCATGCTCCTGCCAAGGTCCTGCTCTCTGGCAGAATTTGCTTAGTGTACTAGAAAGAATGCTTGGGTCAAGTGACCTGCTTTCCACTTCCAGCTCTGCCCCTAATTAGCTGAAAAACAAGTTTCTTAGAAGTGCTTCAATCCTTCACCCTCTTATCTGTAAAAGGAGAGGGTTGAACTAGGTAAACTGTGAGTTCCCTTTGTTCTTACATCCTCCCATGCTGATCCAGGATGTTTTTAGGCTGTATCTGGATTAGGTTTTTATGTGTTATGGCAGTCTGAATTCTGCAGTTAAGATCCTGGGTTCCCTTAGGTCCTGGGATCTATGCCCTGAGTTTATGATCTAGTGGGGGAAATAAAACTAACAAATGTTAAAAAATTAAAGAAGAGCTAAATGTTAAATTGTAAACCATGGTAAATACATAAACTAGAGAGGATTGTTGATTCTGACAGGGGAAACTTTAGTATGATGGGGAGATTTTAGTTAAACATTATTTACTGGGTTAGATGGACCAAAGAGTGGACTTAGGGTGATGGTTCTCATGCTTTTACATTTGGTTGTTGTCTCTACAAAAACATCCTATGGCAGTGAGGAACAAAACCCTTTATTCTACCTTAAATGAAAATAATATGGGAAAAAGACCTTCTTATATGGAAATTAGTATTTGAAGGGAAATAAAAATGCTAAAACTCTCCTTTTTCTAATAATGTTTTCCTTCTTTGTTTTTCAGTGCTGGGCTTGAACTCAGGGCCTTTAGCATGTTAGGTATTCTATCACTCTCCTTTTTCTATGTTTGATTTTTCAAGGCTATTCCTGTTAAGAGATTGGTGCTGAAAAAATCTTCATTACCAAATAAATACAGACTGAGTCAAAAATCCTGTGTGCTTCCCTATAGATAATAATCAATAGATTTAAAAATCACCTAAAATGGAAATTAGTATAAGTAATATTGAAAATCACATATCTCTTTATCTTACCTCATTGGAAAAGAGACAAGATAATGTTTTTAGATTTTATAACAGGTAGGGAGGAATTTTTTTGTCTCCCCTYGGGATTGGATCAAAGGAAAAGTGTTTTGTATTGTAATTAGTTTTACTAAATTGCATATTCACTTAAGAAGAGGTTGTATGACCAGTGTGCAGATAACACAAAATAGAATAGTTATTCTCATTTCATAATTATATTTAGTACAYATGGTTTAGCTCTAACTGTTCTCTGAATACCTAAGAGTTTTTGTTTCTTCCTCTATTCCTAGATCATTTGGAAATTGCAGATTGCCACAAACACATACTGTTAGTTTTATTGTAGTTGATAAACCTTTCATATAACCAACTATTGATTATCTATCATAATGAGGGTGACAATACAATAGAGGAGAATTTTTCTATCTTTAAACTACTGTAAACACAATATGTCATTTAAAAGCAAGATTATTTTGTTTTAAAATGACAGAAAACTGAACTCATTGGGTGAAGCAAGGAAGGGACTTATAATGGGAAAATTTGAAGGTAGAACTAGCTTTGGGCATGGTGGTATGAATAGTGTAATTAGAATCTGGTCTCTCCACATCTCATGGCCTTGAATTCATCCACACTGACTTTTTTTTTCAGTTTCCATTTAATTACATGATGGCTGTTAAGGTTTTAACATTTTTTATTGCTGGGCACAGTGGTGTACACCTGTAATTCCAGTGTCTCAGGAGGCTGAGGCAGGAGGATTGCAAGTTCAAAGTTAGCCTTAGCAAATTAGTGAGGCCCTAAGCAACTAGCAAGACCCTGTCTCTCTATATATATTTTATGTATTATATATATATTATATTATATTATATTATATATATATTATATATATATATATTTTACATTCCTAGCCCGTGTGTGTGTGTGTGTGTGTGTGTGACACACACACACACACACACACACACGGGCTAGGGATGTAAACACACACACACACACACACACACACACACACATGGGCTAGGGATGTGGCTCAGTGGTTAAGTGCTCCTGGGGTTCAAGTGCTGGTACCAAAAAAAATTCTTGTTGAAATCCATTGGATAAGAAAATAGACCTCCCCCTCCCCACATTCCCAAATCAAATCTGGATTATATCATACTGGCTGAAATCAGTTGCTCTCTTGCATCTCTGTGGTCAAAAAGGCTAAGGCCTTGATTGGCCAGATCAGAGTCCTGTATTCATCCTGGAGCTGGGGGTCATGTCTACACTAACAATGGAGAAGAGAATGAGTCCTTAGAGGAAAATGGTTTCCAAAAGAAGGGGGAATAGATGTTTGATGTAAAACAGTAGTAGCAATGATAAAAGTCACTATAGGCCTGGGGTTGTTGCTCAGTGGTAGAGCACTTGCCTGGCATGTGAGGCACTGGGTTTGATATTCAGCACCACATAAAAATAAATAAATAAATAAAATAAAGGTATTGTGCCCAACTACAATTTAAAAAATAATAAAAAATAAAGTTATTGTGTTCATTTACAACTAAAAAAATTAAAAAGAGAAAGAGTCACTATGTATTAGCCTTAGATGGAATTCATCTCAAAAAAACAGTCACTACATATGTCTTTATCCACTTACTCCATTAAATATTAAATATTAAATTTGCATTGTCTAAATATAAAGGTTTCAGTGATAGAGGGCCATCAGAGGGTTTGCTTTGAGGGTGGATACTATAGAAATTGCAGCATTAAGTAGTAATTTGAACCTATGAAATGCATAACCTTAATAAGAAAATTAAAAATGATAGTATTGGATATTTGATAGTATATCTCATAGACAGGAGTGATAGTTAAGATATTTAACAACTTGTGACAGAGGCATCAACTAATTTGAGTTGCATTCAGTCAATCAGAACTTGTGCTGATCGCAAGCAGCAGGGTCCCTAAGTGAGTGCTAGCAGGTTGTCAGGCTAATCTGCTAGGAGGGTTTATTAAGGTGTCATCAAATCTCTTAAAAAATATGGTGACCATATTATTTTACTAGGGATGGCATAAAAAATACCACATACTGACTGAATTAAAATAACAGAAATATATTCTCTGATAAGTCTGGAGGCTAGAGGTCTGCAAGGATCTCTGATAAGTCTGGAGGCTAGAGGTCTGGAAGGATCATGCTGCCTCTGAAGGCTCTAGGGAAGAACCCTCCCTTGCCTCTTCCTAGCTTCTGGTGTTGCCAGAAATCCTTAGCATTCCTTGGATTGTAGGTACACCACTCCAATCTCCATTTTTCCTTTGACTTTCTCAGAATTCTGTGTGTTTGTGTCTCTGTATCCAAATTTCCTCCTTGTTGTAAAAAGATTAAGTAGCCACTTCTTATTTAACTTATTATTTTAATCCTGTTAAAACATTAATGTTGGTGTGACAATTTTGTGCAGAATTAATATTTCTTGGCATGTGATTATGTTTGTGCATGGAGAAGTATTATATTTTTATACATGACCTCATTGAATTCAAGCAAGTTTTGCCTTAAACAATGAAACAGGCTACATTTAGACAAACATCAACCATTAGTCTATACAATAGCAAGTATAAGAAAAGCAGCAGAGAAATATAACTTGTGAGGGGCTTAGAAATCATCTTGCAAAGCATATATGAAAATGGTGGCAATTGTCTAAGTCTTTGAAGAAAAGTTCTGTTGAAAAGGGTTTAGATTCCAGAGGGCAGAACTAGAACTAGTAACTTAGAGGGAAACAGTCAATACAGTATGAGATAAAACTTTTTCCCTGTACAGTGTACTGAAATGGAGGCAACTGTCATATGTCAGGGAGTAAGAAGTGCAGGTTCCCTGAAGCACTCAGGCAGATGCTGCATAATTACCTACCTCCCTGGGACAGTCAATAGAGATCTTGCCTTGAAGAAGAGATGGATATACAAGGTCTCTTCCAGCTTTCAGATCTTTTGCAAATCCTCTGAAAATTTCTCTTTATAAAAGCTGTGGACATAATATTAACAATGTGACAAGATATTTTTGTAAGTTTAAATGCTTTTTAACATTTCCTAAGCTAAAGTTTTGTTGTCTGACCTCAGTGCTACTAGTGTATGTGTGTGGGATGGGGAGAGATGGAATGAGGAGCAGTTTAAGTTAGGAAAAGGGAGTACATTAATACATGAAGAAGGTAAGGGAATAGAACTTTTATTTATTGAGTATCTACTCTCTGCAGGGTATATTGGACTGATTTTTTACTCGTTTCATCTTGTCTTATTCAATATACATAGTTTTCTTTACTTGGCTTTGAACTTATGAGAAGTTGTAGCTCTTTGAGTGATGAATTCTTAAATTAATTGAATTTTTCTTTTGTATTCTATGGTGATGGAGCACAGGACTGTTCTGATGGTTACATGTGCAAAACGCATTTTCAAATAAAAAGTGGGACTATGGTGTCACATCCAGGAACATATGCTGGTGTACAGACATGTCCTCCTGTGGAGGTGAGTAGTTCAGTGCATCATGTTCTCCTTTTCAGTCYTGTGAAGTATAAATTTAAAACTTTGAATCTGTTTTATGTATGTATATGTTTTTTTAAAAAGTTAATTGTCATTGGGTTCTAGGTCTGTTGTAGGGGGGAGGAGTGAGCACTATTTATAAGGAGGTATTTTCTTGTATGATATTAAAAACAGGATTTAAGGTTAAGTTAAGATCCACTGAGTCTATTTGATTGTAGTGAGCCTTCACACTTCAGGTTTCTCTTCTATCTAAAGACCACAGGTATATTCTGTTGCCTACTGATTTTGCTTTAGTGAAATTCCCTCATTATTATACACACTTATTCCTAAGAGGCTTAATACTCGACCAGAGAACTCTTGGCCTGGTTTACCTTTTGCTCTTTTCCTTAGCCACTTGAAAGTATACAGGATCTAGATCTCATTTCTTGGGGAATTTTAACTTTGACTTTAGAAACTTACTAAACTGGATTTTATTAAGCTTCTAATAGCTTGGTGGTTTTCTGGAATATTTTCAGTTTCTTTTTATCAAAATGCAGTATTCTTATTATATTTCTTATTAGTAATAGAAATTGTATATATCCATTGTAAATAATAAACAATAGAGAAATATATCAATATATGGAAAGGGTAAAAATAATCTGCCATTCTGGGCACAATGGAGCACACCTATAATCCCAGTGACGGAGGCTGAGGCTGGAGGATTGCAATTTCAAGGACAGCCTTGGCAACTTAGTGAGACCTTGTCTCAAAAAAAAAAAAAGGACTGGGGATATCTTGGTGGTAGAGTGTCCCTGGATTCAGTCCTCAGTAACAAACACACACATACATACTTACGTGTATATGCACACATACACATATGGACATACATGAAAATCTATCATGTACCCTTTGATAAATAGCAACTATTAATATTTTAGTAAATATTGTTCCACACATTTATATCATACATGTTGTTTTTTGCTATAATAAGGATATCATGGATGTATTTCGGTCAGTAAATGCAGAATTCCATAGTTCTTTTTAATGGCTCCATGGCATTCCATTCTATGAATTCACCATAATTATGTGGAGCTCATACTGAAGTAAAGCACTTGAATTTTGAAAGAATTGGTGGGGTCCCAATTGTTTGAGCACAAGGGAAGAAATCTCTAATAYTTGAATTCTGAGTATCCTAGTAAAATGGAAGAGGGGGATTTGGCAAAAGGGAGGGTGGTATAAAGCGGTCTTTCTCAGGATCTGTTAAATCAGGTCCATTTGGCAATCAGGCATTAATCCTTTCTGCCTGTGTCTGATGCTGGCCTGGAAGTATCTTTGTCCTGTATAATTTGATTTGCAAGGTATTCTGGAAGATATTGTGCTTGATAGTAAGCTAAGTGCTCCCAGGGTGAATGCTTGAATCTTGAGTACTGCTTCATGGTTCAAATAMCCAGCATCAAATCTAAAGCCAAGCATGTTAGGAAACTTTTCAATTCATTATGTATTCACTTAAAATGTTAAAAGTTAACATAGAAATGATGATTTAAAAGATGAATTACCAGTTTTTGTCTAACAAGTTGGCAGAGATTTTAAAAGCACTAAAAAGTGGTGTTGACAGTGTGAGGAAACTGACACTTTCTGGTTGATGTTTTAACTTTACAAAGTTTAAAGTTGTGCACATGCTATGAATGATCTATTCCAATTCTAGCAATTTAGTCTCATAAAGTATAAATTTTTCCRACATTTGGGTTTTCCAGTAGTTGGGTTCATTGTCACTTATTCATATATGCACATAACATAATTTTCTCTAATTCATTCCCCAGCACTTTCTCCTTTTATTCCTCTTCCTCCTTCTTTCTTCTACACTTCTGGTGTTCTTTCTATTTATTTACATATTTTTCCTTAGTGCATTATAATTGTACATAAAAGTGGGATTCATTGTGGTATATTTATACAATCATATGCATAATTTAGTCAGTTTTATTCTCCAGTTCTTCCCCTTTCCCTCTCTTCCTCTTTCCCCATTAATAACCTACCCCTACTCTACTCATCTCCACTCTATTTTCATGAGATCCCCTTTTAAATTTCTTTTTCTCTCAGCTTCTACATGTGATAGAAAACATTTGACCATTGACTTACTGACTTATTTCACTTAGCATGATGTTTTCCAGTTCTATCCATTCCATTCCAGCAAATGACAAAAAATATATATTTTGTATTTTATTCATTCATCTATTGATGGGTAGTTCCATAACTTTCTATTGTGAATTGAGCTGCTAAAAACATTGGAAGGCATGTTGTGCTATAGCATGCTGAACTCAAAGAACTCAAAAATAAATATCTTCTATCTGACTACACCTTCTGATTTGGTCCTGTTCAGAATCAGCTCACCTATAGGATCAAAATATGCTGATATAAGCTGAGTGATCGAGTTACTTGGAACTGATTTAATTCTAAAAGTTTTATTTTTATTAGAATAATATAGTTATTTTTCAAGTAATTTACACAAAAAATTAAAAATGTTTAAAAAAAGGTTTGTAGTAATTTTTTTTGTCATTTATGTTTGTTAGAGTTGTCATAGGAATGGAATCAGATGATAAGCTCTTTGCTTCCAGTAAACTCCACTATTTATTTGTAATTGTTTGGTAACTCAGTAAATTTTGACTGCCTAACTTGGATTATAACAGCACAGTTAGAAGAAAGAGTCCTAGACTTGGAGTTGGAAATTGTTTTTTGGAATTCTCTCCGTCAAATACTAGCAGTGTAACCTTGGGTAAACCTTTTTTTCTCTTCACCTACTTACTTTTTCTTGTTTGGAAATAATAAGCATTAAGTGCTATCATTAATAATAATAAAGTATCTCATAGTCATGYCGTTATGATGAGGATGTGAATGGAGACAAGAAGCAGAGACTGTAATACTTGGTTCCTTATCATGTTCTGGTCTTGCCTTCTAGAGGCTGGGAATAACCTCCTAGTTGGAAGATAAGTTTTCTTCATTTACAACCAGTTGTATCTTATASTGTTGCAGAGATAATTAAGAATGAATCTTGCTAAAAATAGTGGTAGATTAATTAGGACATGTAATGAATTTCATTTGAACTGCATATATAATGTCTTACTTTCCTATATCAATACTGAACAGAGTTGTTGTCTTTCCTTTTTTTTTCATCATAGATTTAATCATATTTTTATTTATTAGGTAATATGATAAGAGAAATTTTCAAGTTTTTCATTTTTAATATCTTGTAATTAATTTTTATCTTAATAGATGGTACTCCTATTTGTGGAATTAATAGAAAATATGATAATTTAGATACATGTTTAGGTGGAATGTAATTATGTGAGGAATCTACTGTCTTAGAAATGCAATGGGCTGTTGATGTTTTAAAAATTCAATATTTAAGCAAATTTTATGAAGAGCATTGATTGTACTCAGAATAGAAAAACTCAAAGGATATATTATCCTAATTTGTAAAAATTATCAAACTTTCTATAAGTGTATTTATATAATAAAAACTGTCAGTCATGAAAAATTATTGGCATTCATGAACTTCACAACATTTTAAACAACTGTGTAAAAACCATTAGTTTTCATTTTTAACCACCACATATCAAAAGATGCCTCAACTCTGTACTGAAGATTGATAAATTCATAGTGAAGACAGACTGTGGCATTAGGAAATAGAATTCTCTTAATCCTAAAAATATAATGATCAAATGGCTAAAATTATTTTTCTAAATATTTTTTTTCTAAGTTAATAGCTAACTGTATCTGTAGGTAGTTGAACAACCATACCAAAGGAATGTAATTATATGAATAAGTTATTTTCAACCTGAGGGGAGAGTTTCTATGGGAGTTAGTACATCGATATTTTTATCAATCACTTTATCATATTCTCTTGTAACAAACATTTGTGTCAATATTAATGCCTTAGTGTACTAACATTTAATTCCCACAAAATTATACTTGTAATGGTAATGAAAATTTATTGATTCCCTATGCTGTACCAATTTCTTATATTAGTTCTATATTAATTCACAAAACTGTGTGGCAATAGATATTAATATGATTAATTTGTGAATAATGTTGGTTATGTTGATGAAAACATAGTTGGTAATAATAATAATAATAATAATATAATAATAAAGGTATCAATCAAACTTTATTGAGCACTAACTCCTGATACTGTTCTATGTGATTTGCATGAATTATTTAATTTCATCTTAAGATATGCATGCCTTTATTATTTCTATTTTACTTATAAGGAAACTGAGACACAGCGGTTAAGATGTTTTGCCTAAGTACAATATKGAAAAAATTTTAGTAAGAGACGTATTTGGGGTCTTTGTAGTTGTTAAATTAAAATGGAAAACCTAGCAAGGTTAGTTGTCTTCAGATATCTGGACAGCTGTCCTGTGAAAGAGAGTAGATTAACTTTGCTTGAGGATTAGTTCCAGTGTCCGAAAATTATTCTAGACAAATATCTCTTGGTGTTGCCTGCAGTGAAATTGGTCAACTTAGAAAGCTGTGAGCTTCTTCCCTCCTAGTGGAAATGTTCAGCCATAGGGTGGATAACCCTCTCTCTGGAACAGTGGTTACAACTTAAATGCCCAGATGCTTAAAGAAGAATGTGCTCATGAGGGATTGAAGTGGGCCAGTTGGAAGTGGTAGAGAAGTGGAGGGAGCATGGGACATGCCTCCTTCAAAGGGCATCAGACATGCAGCTGCAGTTGCATTTTCAAGAGAAGGTAGAGATCTGGAGCTGTGTGTATGTAAGAGAGTTAAAAAAAAAATCCTATATCATCCAAATAGACTGTATCTATGAGCTGCAAATGGTCCTCAGGCTATCAGTTTATGATTTCCAGTTTCAAATATTTCAGAAAGGATTCCTGCATTGTATAGAAAAATGAATAGAAGATTGAGTTAGGGGACCTTAAATTCTCTTTAGAATTGAATAACCACTAATTAGTTCCATATGTATTCATCATATTTCCTATTTGAAGATG